TGCGACACATTGCCTGGGTCCTCCTGAGAGAGGATATAAAAGGGGGTGAGAGAAGAGAGGATATTAAAGGGGGTGAGAGAAGAGAGGATATTAAAGGGAGTGAGAGAAGAGAGGATATTAAAGGGAGTGAGAGAAGAGAGGATATAAAGGGGGTGAAGACTACCTGTACTTTTATCACTTTTTTCCCTTTTTTTGGTCAAGTTTTTGACACCTTGCTAGGCAACTGGTGGTACTTGAATATTGCCATATTCTAAATGTGGTACAATTGGTGAAAAGGTTGAAAAGCCCTGGTCTAGAATCCCTACATAGCCACAAGAGAACTAATTCCCCTCGAGTTCTATTGACCTTTAACTAACTCTAAGCAGCTATCCACAGTGAGTTGAGAAGATTCCTGTGCATAGACTTTTATTAACAAATTAATTTAATTGAACCTTCATGTATGGACCTGGTCAACTGCACCTGAGATTAGGATGGACTTGCAAGCGTAGGAACACTGTCCTGGGAATAGGTTCCTTAACAATATAGTTTTAATGAAATTTCTATTCTTTTTTCCCAAGAATTTCAGGATATACCGTGTATCTCTCAGCCTCTTTTCTTAAATTCATATTTGATAAACTAGGGTAAGGTGAAGAGTGAAATTGGTTTGAGAGCAACATTTGTTCACAGATGGGAATTTGGCTAGAGAGAGATGGCATTTGTTCCAACATCATGAGCTTTGCTCTTATTTTTATTCCATTATGGAGGTACAGATAGTTCTTGATTAACAACCACCCATACAGCAACCATCAATGTTGAGACAGCACTGAATAAATGATACTTCTGGTCCTTGAAGTTCCCGGTCCTTGAAGTTCCAGTTGTTGCAATACCACATCACATAATTGCAATTTGGGCACTTGACAACCAAGTTGCACTTACAACGGTTGCAGCACCCTGTGGTCATGCGATCATCATTTGCAACCTCTTCTCTTGGCATCTCACAAGCAAAGTCAATGGGGAAGCCATTGAATCTGGGTTCTGTTTCACAGACCTGGCCATTTGCATTTCTAGCACAAATGTGCTTTGATCTCAAAGTTCTCAAATAAATAAAACAAGATTTAACATGACTACGGGAAATGTTTGGAAGCTGTTGTTCCAAGCAAAGGAAATGCCACCAAAAAAAAAAAAAAATTGGTAGAGAGGATGTACAAATCTTTGCATCTGCCATATTCCGTTTTTAAATCTATAAACAATGGCATGTTAATAAGTATGCATTAAAAATTGCGGAAATATGTCATGCGCAACTTTGTACCATGTAAAGATTATTCCTAGTTTGGTTTACTTTGGGGTCAATTGAAACACACCATGTGATTGAGTGCCTAAATATTCATATTCAGTGGTGTGCGTGTGTATGTGTGTGTATAAAAGAAATCAGTCATTTTTATTTAAAGTGAATTGAATGCAACACTGAAATTTCCACATTTAAGGTTTTAGCTTGCTCTAAATGGAACAAATTTTGAAACAGTGTTAAAACATAATCTAGACTTATAAACCTACAGAAACAATAGTTGCTTTAAATTCATGAAAATTAGAATATAGCTAATGGGAAAAATGGGGAAAATATACATCTAGATATCTATATTGCTATTGCTCTACTTCATGTAGTAGGTTACATTTTGGATTAATCCTTGCCTTTCTACTATACAGAGACATAAGATTTTATACCAACCTGTTTATATCAATACTGGATACAGGTAGTCCTGAACTTACAACTTACTGTTTGAAGTTACAATGGTATTGAAAAAAATGACTTATGATCATTTTTCACTTATGACCTTTTTCAGCATCTTCATGGTCATGTGATCAAAATTCAGGCATTTGGCAACTGGCATCTATTTATGACAGTTGCACATACCCAGGAACATGTGATCAACATTTGTAACCTTCCCAGCTGACTTCTGACATGCAGTTAATGGGAAATCCAAATTTGCTTAACCTCAGGATAGCACTAGCACTAAGACTTATATACCGCTTCACAGCCCTAAGTGGTTTACAGAGTCAGCCTATTGCCCCCAACAATCTGGGTCATTTTACTGACCTTGGAAGGATGGAAGACTAAGTCTATCTTGATCACTTAACAACTGCAATGATTCACTTAACAATTGTGGCAAAAAGGTCATAAAATAGGGCAAAACTCGCAACAACTGCCTTATCTGGCAATAGACATTTTGGGCTCAACTGTGGTCTTAAGTCAAGGACTATGTGTAACATTAAACACTGATAATTATCACCTATTGCTGCATTCTTTTCCATAAGTAAGCCAGGGGCATTGAGTTGTTTGCTTAAATGCTTTACTGCATCGTAACACAGCAAACTATTTACTTAATTTTGCAAGTACAAAAAGAATCACACTATAAAAATACAATTTTACATCTAAAAGTGAGTAACAGAAAACTAATATTTTAAATAATATTTAGATGCTAAAAAGCTTGGAAAAATGAATCTTCTCATTGGGCCTGAACTGCTAGTAAGTCTCTCTAAAGCAGTGGTTCTCAACCTTTTTATACCGGCGACCCCGGTCATAAGCACGCGGCACGCATGCGCGGCGCAGCGCGCATGCACGGTGCCGCCCCCTGCGTGGCGTGCATGCACGGTGCGGCACACATGCGCGGTGCCGCCCCCTGCGCCAGCTGAGGCATAGCCGGCAAGGGGCGGCGGCAGGCAGGCCCAGACGCTCCCAGGCGGCTGCAGCAGCGCAGGACGACCACCGGCGGCCACCAGCTGGCCCAGCCCAAGGCAGGTAAGGCACCTGCCGGGCCCCACGCGCGCCAGCAACCTTCCCTGCACTCACCGGCCTCCCACCCCCAGCCCTCTTTTACTTACTTTTTAGTTGCTCAACAGGGAGGGAAGCTCTGCAGACTGTTCCCGTTGCAGCACCGTTTGCAGACTGGGGCTTTTGGCGGGCTCAGCAGGGACAGCCCTGGACAATTCCTATTGGCTTTTGAAAGCCAGTAGAATTAGACTCTGTTCAAGAGGGAGTAGCACAGCTAAGGAAAAGGGGGAAAAAATGGCGGAAAAAATGGCGGATCGCGTTGTTTGGCGACCCCCGTGAAATGGTTGTTCGACCCCAAATGGGGTCGCGACCCACAGGTTGAGAACCGCTGCTCTAAAGGGACAAAAAAACCCTGTAAGTACCATTGAAAAGCTCTATCTAGTAGCCATTTTTTAAACTTGATAGACGGAGAGATTTCAGATGGTTTTAGTAGCCAAGCACAGAAACATAAAAATAGTGACCCAGTAACCCGATATCCAGGAAATTTAATATTCTACCAGGACTTTGAATTGGGCAGGATGTTTTGGCTAGTAAGTAATGATAACCTTAACTACTTCTGAGATTGCTTAGGAAGCAGAATAATAAATAAATTGCACATATACTGTACTAGAAATGAGTTGGAGTTAGCCTAAAAACTTGTTGGAACCTGTTATTTTGTACAGCTTTGATTTCAGAACTTTAATTCTACTTAAGTCTTTTATCCCTTTTTCATTGAGAATGTTTCTTGTAATGATAACTCACACGCAAAGTATTTTTTGTGCATAGCTGTCATGTCTGGTCATTGTACATACAGTAAAATCAACAGTGTAATTCAGTACTTCAGCTTCTGTGTGCATACCATATACATTCAACATAAAAACAAGTCTATACATGTAGCTGAAATGTTCTTGACGCCACCATTTATAGATATATTTAACACAAGCTTCAAGTTCTTTGACAGTTATATCCTAAATACCAGTAAGTGTAAAATAATAGCTAGAAAACTTCCTTACTATAGCTCAGTTTCTAGTCTAAACAAAAGCTATTGGGCAAAATATAGTGACCTTTACAAAATTAACGATTAGACTTGGTTTATACTTTGAGAAAAAACCACCAGGAAACCATATGTCTGTAAGCTAGACCAAAAAACAAACAAAAAACACGTCAGTGGGAAATCATTCCCTGTTGCTAAGCAACTACATGATCTGGGCAGTCACCTGGAGTCAAATTCAAATTGGAGAGTTCAGTATCTCACTGAAGAGTCAGGCATAGCAGAAGACTTGGGTAGGACCTGTTTACAGGATGATATGAAATATTGTACACCCACAAATAAACAGCTGACATATTTTAGATAAGTTACTATGTCAGGGGTGTCAAAATGCCGGCCCATGGGCCGGACGCGTCAACGGGGAACCACACCCACCCCATTGCCGGCAATGGGAAAAAAACTCCCAATACATTGCGCGACATCAAGTGATGTTGTGAGTTTGACATGTCTGCTATAGGTAATCTAGCTTCACCACCACCCTGTTTAGCAATTAAAGCTATGATAGTGCTGAAAAAGTAATTTAATGGCTAGTTGCACTTGTGATGATTTTAGTGTCCTGTGGTCAGATGATTGCCATTTGCACACTTGGGTTTTTTTAAAATTTGTATTTTATTTATCTAGTTTGTATCCCTTTATTATTTTTACAAACAAGTCAAGGCGGCAAACATATCCAACATATCTTCTTATTTTTCCCACAATCACTACCCTGGGAGGTGAGTTGGACCAAGAGACAGTGACTGGCCAAAGATCAATTTTCATGGCTAAGGTGGCACCATAATTCATGGTCTCCCCCTTTTTAGCAGGGTGCCTTAACCACTAGGCAAAGCTGGCTATTGTTATATTATCAACAATAATATTATGGCCCACCCCAAGCTATGAGAAATATATTTCACAAGTCTCCTCCACCCAGTTTCCATGGTACATACTTAAATAGGAGGATGTCATACACACTGGCACTTCACCAATTTGTATGATTCATCAACTTGTATGATGAAGTATTGTTGCTGCACCTAGCTGTACATACAGCTAGAAGACCAACATACATTTGTTTGTTAATTTCTCTCAAAGCAAGAATCTGTCATTAAACCAATTAAATACCAAAAAGTCCTTGTTATATAAAGCATGTATACCACCTTAAAGAAGAGGCACAAGGTTTTACTTTGATACGGATACCAAATATATGACACTTTGGAATTTATATTTATTAAATCCTTACAAACAAGGAGTGTGTACTTTTAGTATTAGCATTAGAATGTTAACTGTCTGTGAATGACAATGTGTCCTTTCCCCAAACCAGTCAAGTGTTAAATTACCAATAATCTAATTGGAGATATGAAACAATATACATTTTTGGAAGAATTGACTAGATTTCTTAACCATCTCTATTACTTTTCTGCAATAATCCTCCTGAAGAATCAAAGAGCCTGGTGGAATTTCTGTTCAAAATACTTGGCAGCACAAAATCTGTATTCTTCATTGGATAGCTACAACTATATTCTAATTACAGTAAAGATTATTTATCTTTATCATTGATTCAATCTGAAGAAAACAAATGGTTTTTAATAATTTTCTTAAAAAAAAAGTTTAGAATTACACAATGTCTTTTTCCCATGACAGAAAAGTGACAATTCATGTGTAGTTTTAAGTATCTGCTATTTTGTCAATTTGCAGCAATCATCAGATTTAATTAGGCATTTATCAAATTTTTAATAATCATAGGAGCAAAACTGCAAAACAAATATTTTAAGCATAGATATCAATAAGCAAGACTCCAAAGTCTTTTTATTAAAAATTTCAATTGTAAATTTGACAGACTTGATACATTCAGTTCTTTTAGACTAAGTCCTCCAGCAGGACATATAAATATGTCTGTATAGAAAAAAATTCTCTGGCAAGTCTGTAAATCAGATGGTTTCCTGTAATTTTTTTGCATGCATTCAAGAGCTGCCTGGTATTAGAAAAAGCCCTATTCAACTTTCTGAAAGAGGCAAATTTTTATGGCTATATGAACAACTTCTTTCCAGAATGTCAGCATTTGGTACTATTTAAAGAGTACCATAGGAATATCAAGGAAGCTGGAAATCTGAACACTTACTAAAAATAGCCTATCCCCCTTCAGGAAATAATGTAAAAGACAAAGACAACACAATACAACATAGACAAGAGATTGAAGATGTTTACTTCTGAAGTCCAGTTTAGATTTTAGTCTCATTTTTTTCTAAGGAGAATCTGCATGGGCATGGTCTGACTAGGGCTTGTCAAATAGATGAAGCAGAAATCATGACTGGTTGCCATACTCAGATTCAAATTTTTGAGATGTTTTCCTGTTTCTTTCAGCAAATGTTCCCGGTTATAAATGCTATGAGCAAAGGCAATCTGGGTCTAAAGTCAGTTAGCAGTGCAATGCTCTTTTTTCAATGGATTCTTTGAAACATTTTGTAACATAAAGTTACTCTCATGTCCACTGCCAAAACAGACCCTGAAATCTTGATTCCAGTCTGTAATCCTCCATATTAGAGGTAGTGCAGTCCAATTGGTGCCAGTCTTATTATATTGGCAAGATCTGTTCTAGGACGCTTTTGGAAGACTGTGGAATTCTGTCTGGGAATCTTACTTCAAATTCAATAATAAGATCTCCTCGCTGATTTAGATTCTTGGGAAATGGAAGGCCTTCTCCAGGAATTCTTCGCTTCATGCCAGGTTTAATAACATCTTTGAATATCATTGGTATGGTTCTACCATCTAATGTTGGTGTATTCACAGTGCAGCCACACAAAGCCTGTATATAAAAATAAACCACATAAATCAGTACATATTTTATAAATGAGAAAAACTAGGGAACGTGTCATTTTCATTCATTTGACAATGGCTTCAATTAGATTTCATGATAAGAGAAAATGCCAAAAAGACCTGAATGCCACATGTATACCAATATACTTTAATATTGTTCCTGTTCAAGCTACTACAGCAATATGAAGCACGCTTCCAGCATGTGTTCCATAACGCTGCCAGTGTCTTGAGAGTATATACTCTTAGGGGCTATTTAAAGTTACAGTTATATATGGATTATCCAAATTAAACATTAATCTATTTCAATATGCAGTAATTCAGACATTTTATTACCTAGTTCATCTTTCAAATGACAAATCTAGCTTTTTAACTTACCTCACGGAGGCTGATCTTAGCTGGGTATACAATGTCAGACCCATCTCTTTTAAAAGTGTTGTGTGGCTTGTCCTTTAGAACAAAAACAATATCAGCTGGAATGTTGGTTGGTGTTTGGTCTCCTTCTTTGGGGAATGTGATCTTGGTTCCTTCTTTCCACCCTCGTTTTACTTCTATTGTTAAAATCTTATCCTCACTACGTGTGCTTTTCCCATCTGGATTGAGACGCTTGTGTGAAATTTTCATTTTCTTGGTGCAACCTGTGTAAATTTCCTCCAAGGACACCCTCAATTCATGGATGATTGGAGGATCTTGTTTCTTGCGGATGTTTTCATGTCCTCCACGACCACGAGTAAAACCAATATTGCCAAAGTTTTGAAAAGTTGAAAAAGGATCATCAACATCCATGTCCTCATCCCCATTCCGCTGAACAAAAAAGGTATCAAAAGGATTCCGTCCACCGAAGAACTCTGCAAACATGGCATGAGGATCTCCATGGAAAGTGTAAGTGAATGAAGTACCATTAGGACCTCCTCCACTACAACTGGGACCACCACCTTTTAATCCTGAAATATAGAAAACATAAAAATACACTTCATCCAGTAATACTCATGTCTGATGTCTCATGTTGCAATATGTGCTCCATTTCAAAGTTTATTTTTAGTATTTTTATTTTGAGAATGTCAAATAGGGCTAATCTTAGAAATGCCTCAAATTTTCACCTCCATTTTTCTCTCACAATTCCCTTTTTCACCATGTTCATGATTCAACTATATAACATCAGCAAAAAACCTTTTCAGTTTTTCAGTCTAACACTCTCCTGAACTGAATGTTATTGTAGATATAACACAAATTATTGTTCATTTTTACTTCACCTGCATAAAACAATAGGTATCTTTTAAGAATTATGAAAAAAAATTCAGCACAAATAAAATATTGGAAAGGTCACTAGCATAAGAATATGCTAGAATTTTCTAGCTACTACTAGAAGACTGCAGGAAAGGCTCCACCTATCTTAGACAGCTTGTCATGCAACCCAAATATATGCGGTGAATACATATTTTACCAATTCTTCAGAGGAAAATTGCTGAGCATTTACTATGAATGTAAGTAAGCAAGACAATAGAAGCCAGTATTGAAAAGCTATCTCAAATCTGTACAAATTGTATAGGAGGAGTGTCCGTTTTAAATGCTGTTTTATAAATGCTAGAGATGCAATGATGTTCTTTAAAATATACATGCCACAACGTAGAAAGTTGACAGAAAGTATACACTTAGCAATCTTTATTAGTGTCAATAAAATCATTAGAAACAGGAGAAATTCTGCAACTTATTATATTATTTTTTACTTTTCTACACAAAACATTTCCACCTGGCTCAAGTAAGCTTCCTAGACAGGAAGAACCTGTAAAGTAATGGTGGATTTTTGAGGAGTGACCTTAATACAATCAGAACAATTCAAAGATGGCAACTCATCTGGCCAGTTTCCAGAAGTAGAATAAAATAACTTGTTTTCTTGTTCTTCACTTTTTGCCCTCCTTCCCCCTTCCTTGGGAAATTAGTCCCAACATGGTTAATAAATACTCTTCTCCACAGCCGCTGGGAGAAGAGTATTTATCAATAGGAGCTAAACGCTAGATTATATTATAATAGCAAACTGGAAAGTTAGCAGCTTTCTTTCAGGGTGAGGACAAGATTATTAGTAATCAAGGGAAACAGCTGAGTAGAAATTTTTAATGTCAGAGAAACTACAGCCGAAGGAGGGAGGAGACTCTTTAGCTTAAGCAAATTTTAAAGATAAAATATTTCAAAGTTGAAAACATTTATTCAAGTCTCCTGCCCGAATACAGCTGTTTCATTTTAAAGTTTCACTTTCTAATTTCATTCGCTTCCGGGAGAAAAAAAATTTCAACGGGGGGATTTAATTCTGCTTTCCTGGCCCACCAACCAGTAATTTTTTTCCTTGCGTCCTGCGATTTACACTGCGAGCCAGGCGATTTCAATTTTCCTCTCAGAGAATACACCAAAGACAGTACGCTAAGACAATTTCGCTAGTCTAAAAAGACAGCCCAATTCTAAATCAATTAGATCCCCCCCCCCAAAAAAAACTTGGGATGAGCGACTACATGTCCTAGACTCCCCCCACCCCCCAATTTATTGCAGACTCGATTTCTCCTCCCGCCTACTCCCCACTCCTCGGCCCGGCTCTCGGCACGCACCTTCCTCGCCGAACTTGTCGAAAATCTCGCGCTTTTTCGGATCGCTCAACACGTCGTACGCCTCGGCGATTTCTTTGAATCGCTCCTCAGCTCCAGGGTCCTTATTCTTGTCAGGATGGTAGCGCAGCGCCTGCTTGCGATACGCCTTCTTAATGTCATCTTCGCTAGCTCCGCGGGCCAGGCCCAGAATACGATAATAATCTTTCCCCATCGCCGTTCACAACACCCTCAGCAGACGGCCACCTACCCCGCTCGCTAGTCTACTCGAGCTGTAATTTAGAAGGCGCTTCCCCTTCCAAGTTTATATGGCGGGCGGAGGAATCTTCCAGAGCTTGCCACAACGTTCTCTTCCGAAAGCCCGCCTCTCCATCCTGCTTTCTCCAATTGCAGCCGAACCTTTCGAACGCTGCCCCAATGAAGACGCGGCGTGCGTCACACATGGGGAAGTAACGGTTGCCGAGAGTCCGCCTTCTAACTTAATAGCGAAGGAGATAAGCAATTGCTCGTGTGTCAACGGTTGTTTTCCTTCCGAATTCTACAGGCGGGCGGCTGGTCTCCGGGCGGGGGCGAATCGGGTGACGTCACGGGAGGCTCGCACGAGAGCTCTTCTATTAAAACCTTTTCAGAAAAAATCGAGCCCCTCCGGTCATTGCTATTCAATTAATCGAGAGGAAGCAGCTCCACCCAGCAACCGACGTTTTCTTAAACCTCAAGTCAGCCAAGATTCAGAGAACCTTGTAAAAGACACGTTTCACTGCAGTTTCGCTTATGCTATGCCAGTTTCTCCAGTCCGGTGCCCTATGAATGGAATTTCGTTAGAGGGGGCATTGGGGAAGTTGGAAATCGAACACATCGAGAGAGCAGCAACTGGGAAATCCTGAGCTCCACTGGATGGTTATGACAACGGTACAAAATACACACGAACAGTTTTAAAACACTGTTATAATAAATGTCATTTATGGCTAACCATTACATCACTAATGATAGGTGACCCACATCTGTAAAACAGTAGTTATAACTATAAGATTCAATACACCACTGATGAGGGCATTTAACAATATGGACGTTCAAACCTATGCTATCTGCAGATGTAAGTATTCCAGCCAGCTAGCAACTAAAAATTCAAGCTACAATCTTACATGAAAAGCCAGTTATTTGTTACCTGAAGCAGAGAAGCAAATCCCTAATTCCCACAAAATATCTATCACTGCAGTTAAATTATTTTGAAATTTAAGGCAGCCTGAAAAGTATTTGAAAGTATGTCCTTGGCATTCATAAATACACTTGCTGCCCTTTTCATATCCCAAAGCAAGTTGATAGAAACAAGCTCAATAAAAGAAAACTGCTCTTTTTTTGTACCTTCAGGTTAGTATTGACTCCTGGAGGCTGCCTGGACAAGTCACTGCAGCTTTCTTGGCAAGATTTTTGAAGTTATTTGCCATTATCTGATTTCTGCTTGCCTCATTTTGTGCTTCTGTTAAAACCTCTGAAATCCTATCTGGGCCAAGACAAATAGAAAATGAAAAACAATATTAACACAGTAACTCTATCAAGATAACATTTTGTTTATAATATTAATTTATATTAATGTGGGAAAGAAATAGAATAACATAGAATAAAGAAGAATAAAGTATAATAATAATAATAATAATAATAATGAAAAATCACTAAAAGCAAAAATCATGTGTCTGCATAATCTCTGAAAAGAAAGCTGTGTTAGCAAAAGCTGTATTAACAGTATGTGAATGACCTAATGCATATTTAGAAACATTGTATAAAAGTAAAAACTGCCTTCATTATATTCCCATGAGAAATGGAGCTAACGTGTGAGAAACTATCTGAATGTTACACAAAGTAGATTCCATATACAATGTAAGATTCCATCTATGCTTCCTTTGTTCCTGAGGAAAAAAAACCTATAAAGCTTTAGTTCAGACCCTCCCCCTTGTTCAGAAATTTGCTAATTGTTAAATCACTTCTGAACCTTTTTGAGCAAAAATAAAGATCTCTCTTTCACCCATGGAATTTCGTAAAAGTCCTTATATTTTTTAAGGCTTTATTTTTCCACAAGATTTAAGGTGCCCATATTTCAGTTGTGACTGTAGGTGAACACAAAATTACAAACTAACAGAATAACTTAGTCGTAGTCATGGAGGCTCACCTAACCTATAGGGCCATTCCCAGGGGACATACAGTTGTTGAAGGATTTGCAAAATGCCAGGGGGGTCAGGGGAAAAAAACCTCCAAGGGGCATGAGATTCCGAAGGGCAAACACTTCCTGGGTCTGCATGGTACTGTTTAATAAATGAGCCTACCTTGCCTGATCTAGTACACCACACAGAAACAAGTAGAGAAAGGGGTCCCACATATAAGTTTGAGTTTAATAAATAATTACAGGTTAGTGGAAAAATAATGGCAGCAATTATTTCCATTTCCTTCTAAGTGTAGCAGAATAAGCCCTGTAAGCCAAATTTCTGGATAAGAAACATACAAGTATTTCTCTGAAATAACCTATCTGCAGGGAACTGTTATATGGATTAAGTGATTGCTTAAATTTTAGTACTGTAAAAATCTATAAAACCAGTGTAATGATTTTTTGGGGAACAATGTTTGATGTACTATCCTGGGATATCGATGAACCTGTCAAATATCCATACTCAGTGCCATACGGAAATGTTGATTTTGTGCCATGGAAAACACTTATATTTCTAATAATTTAAATGGATCTAGAAGCAATCCCAAAACAATGAACTTAAACTGAAAGTATGTTGAATGCTATCATTTCCCCAGATGATATGTCCAATAATAGCGTTTCCATCTTGTCTGATTCAAGTTTCACTTTTTTGTCTGTCATCACATCCCTTAGTATAATCAAGGGCCTATCAAGCTATTGTATTAAACTGTTAAGTTTAACTGGAGTAGCATTGCAGAATTTCAAATTTTAATTCACACCCCAGAAGGAAAGCCAATGATTGGTTTTTAGGCTTGTCACTCACAGTCCAATCTATCTCTTTGTGAGATAGATTGCTATAGTTGTTGCCAGCATAAGGAAAAAAAAGGATAGAACACTATGTTAGTTGCCTTAAATTCCTGCACACAAGATATCATAACTAACCAAATAAAATACTGCCTCACTTGGATCTGAGGAAAAATGCATATGTGAGCTATGTGTCATCAGAATGATGAATCTTCAAAAGATGTTATTCAGTCTTTTAATGTAGATTTAAGTTTAAGAATAAAACTTGCAGAACCTCACAAAACAAACATTAAGCATACGTGATGGATTAAATATCAATTTAAGGCTGATCCAAGGGAACTGCTTTCAAGCTTTTTCATAAATGATTCCCAGATTCAATTAAAGTCAATATTAATTTGCATTTTTTTACATTATTCTGACATTGATTCAAATCTGTACTAATACAGGTAGTCCTTGACTTAAAAGAGTTCATTTAGTGACTGTTTGAAATTACAATAATGAAAAAAGTGACTTATGACCAATTTTCACACTTCTGACTTTTTCAGCATCCCCATGGTCACATGGTTTATATTCGGGTGCTTGACAACTGGCTCATATTTATGACAATTGCAGTGTCTCAAGGTCATGTGATCCTCTTTTGCAACCTTCTGACAAGCAAAGTTAATGAGGGAGTCAGATTCACTTAACAACCGCGTTACTAATTTAACAACTGTAGTGATTCACTTAACAAATGTGGCAAGAAAAATCATAAAATGGGTTAAAACTCACTTAACAAATTTCTCACTTAGCAACATAGATTCTGGGATCAAATGTGGTTGCAAGTTGAGGACTACTTGTACAGGTAATCTTCGACTTACAACTGTGATTGAGCCTGGAATTATGGCTGCAATCATGTTACATGCAAGGGTCATCATGTAACCACCCTTGATTTTACAACCTTTTGCAGTGGTCATTAAGCAAAGTCAAACTGATTGTCCTTAAGTAAATGCTATGGTTGTTCATCAAACGCATTATTTGCAATGGGTGTTTTTTGTCAGAAACTGGAAGTAAATGTTGTAACTTGTGGTCAAATGACTATGGAACACTGCAAATGGCCATAAATGTGGGGTGTTTGCTGAGCATCCAAAATTCAATCACTTGATTTCAGGAAGGCGGGGGGGGGGGAACCATCAAAACTTTGAATCTACCTTAAGTTGTAAGTATCTTTTTGATGTCTATTGTAACTTCAAAAGTTGCTAAATGTTGGATTTTAAGTCAAGGACTACCTGTAGCTGAGTCTATCATTGTTCTAAAGAAGGAACTATATATAATTTCCAGAAAGAAGAATAAAGATGTGTACAGTTTCTTAGGAACTGTTATCATATACAGAGCCAACTCCATATACTTTGGAGGAATATAAGGATTAATACCCAGTGTTGAATTTATCCCACCAAGCAATGTAATTTGAACAAATCAATATACATGGAAAATGTTTTGAAGTATACAAATCTAGACACCCAGATATATTATTTAATATATTTAAAGAATTTTTTCTTAAAAAAAGAGAAAATAATTGTTCTGTCCATAAAAAAACAATTCATTGATCCCAAGTGCTTTTCTTTGTTCTTCTCTTTCTTAACTTCAGTGTTGATAATATGGAAGTGCACAAATGAGCCTCTATTTTTCAGATAAAATAGGGTAAGTCTGGTTTTCTCTACTCCATCTTGTCGGAAGCTTAAAAATAGAGAAGGTGGTAGATTTTAAGTAAAAGGGAATGTGCAAAAAGACAGGGCCATCCTGGAAAAGAAGGTGGTATAGGTGGGTAATGGCCAGCATTCATAAGGAACTCCCAACACTCCTCTGGTGAAACCCATAACAGAGGTACTTAACCTTGCCCCCAAGTGACAAAATTTTACACATTATACACACTTTGAAATTGGTATAATGAAGGGAAAAAATATTTTATTCTGGCATTATAATAATAGTGATAATTTAAGGCTGTTTCATTTGTGGGTAAGTTGAAGAAAAGGTTGTGTAAATACGAGGGGTGGGTGGGTGATTTGGATTGTTAGGGGATGCTATTGCTGCATTAAACTACAATGGTGTGTGTGTGTGTGTGTGTGTGTGTGTGTGTGTGTAGATAGATAGATAGATAGATAGATAGATAGATAGATAGATAGATAGATAGATAGATAGATAGATAGATTTGGGTATGTTTATGTAGATGCCAGGACAAGTTACCATAAGGACCTGAGTGAAAATGCAGACTAAAAATTTGGCACCAAGATAGAGGATAGCAACATCTAATTATATTCTTAGAAACAAGACCATTTCCAAAATAGCAAGCTTAAAATACATGAAATGCACTTTGTCTGGAAATACATTTATGATGTGAATCATAAGCTGTATGACACATACAGCAAAAGGCATCCATGAAGAACGTCTTGAGAAAGTGATCAAGCAACTGACTTGGTATTTGAATGGCTACTGTTATCTGTAGAATTCCCGAAAAAGTAATTAATTATTAATTTAATCCTTTCATATTTCAATAGTCTAATTAGAAAAGAGATAGATTAATGAACTTTGTAAAGCTTATGGACAAGGAAAAGGAATGTTATGGGTTTTTTACAGAATTCAAATATGTACATTTATTTTTTATATTTTTTTTATTAAAGTTTGCTATTACAAAGACAAAAAATCAATACAAACTAAAAAATATAAAATAATGAAAAGAAATGATAGAAAATAAAATATAAAAAAGAAAAATGAATAGAGAAAAAAGAAAAGGATATAAAGAAATAACTTCCGGACTTCCGGTTCGTCACACAGCTGCCATGGATGGTTGGGAGACTTGCTCTCTCTCCCCCATTCAGTTTCGCATCGCTAGGGACCCTGAAAAGGGCCGAAAATTGCCCCAAAGAGGTGACCAGCAAGGAGGGGCTTTCACTGGATCCCGGGAGAGCAGCAACTCTTCCATCAGACTAGGCGATCCCTCCAAACTGGCGAACGAAAGGACCGGCCATAGAAATATGGCTCATCCCTAGGCTGCAAACAGCCAAAGTCACACTACCATCTGGCAACTTCTAAGCAGCATGGACAGGACTGGGTGAGGTTTGCCTCTCTTATATCCTAACTACTTAATTACCTGCATAAGCTCCTAAAATACGTTCCCCCCTGTGGTGAGGGAAGGGGGATTCTAGCCCTCCCTCCAGAAACAGCAGCTATCAACCACTTGGGAGTTTAAAATGTTGGAAAAATACTGAGTTTTTAATTGGAATCATATTTCCTAAAATTGCTGATTATAAGATTTGCAACTTTCTGCTCTCTCTATATATATATTTCTTCCTTGATTTTTATTCTAATTACTATTGAAGATTTGGGGTTTTTTCCCCCTTAAAATAGAGTAAAAAAAAAAGATCTAAAAAGATCCAACTAACTCTAAGACATAACTTGCTATTCTCTAAGAGACTTGTTGACAGCTTTGAAAATAGACAAGATAAAAAAATAACCTTGAAACATCATCTGCAAAATTCAGCTCAGCT